AGAGAGACAGAGAGAACACTCTTCATTTTTAGCAATGAATATTTGATTTACCCATTCACCTCTTAAAGGACATCTTAGTTAATCTATCATTTCTCAATTCTGTGTGACATTGCTGTAAAATCCTGCAGGTTGTTGTGAGGACATATGTTTCCCACTCTTGGGTAAATTCTGGATCACATGGCAAGAACCGTTTTGTAAGAGACTGTCACATTGCCTTCAGAGAGCAGCTGCATGGTTTTACGTTCCCGCCAGCCGTGGTCCTCTGCATCTTCTGCAGCACTCGGAGCTGTTGTTGTCCTGGGTGTGACCACTTCAGTAAGTTCTGCTGATGGTGATGTGGAGAATCTTTCTGGTTTTGCCATCCAGCATCTTCATTAGAGAGGTGTTTATTAAGTAAGGTCTTTGCTATTTTTAAAATCAGGTTTTCTTGCGGTTGAGTTTTAAGAGTTCCTTCTATATTTTGAGTAAGTCTTTATCAGAAGTATCTGATATTGGCGAATATTCCCCTAGATTTGCCATTTTATTCTCCTGGCATTGTCTTTATCAGGGCAGAGTTTGTTTTTAGTTGATTTTGTCACCTTATATGTTTATGTATGTGAATGCATGCCTGCCATGGTGCATGGGTAAAGGTCGGAGGACAACTTTCTGATGTCTGGCATCTCCTTTTACCGTGTGGGCTTTGGAGATGAACTCTGGTCCTCAGCCTTGGTGGCAAGAACCTTAATCCACTGAGCTATCTCACTGGCCCAGAAAATTACAATTTTAATTACATCCCAACTTCAATTATTCCATGTTCCGTGTTTTATCTAAAAAGTTATTATAAACCCAAGGTCACTCACCGAGATTTTCCTATAGTTCTGTGTTTTAGTTCTAGGTATATGACCCATTTCAGGTTAATTTTTACGAAGGTGAGATCTGTGTCTAGAAGCATTTTATTTCATTTGAATGTTCAGTGACTCCAACACTGTATGTAGGAAAGGCTTCACTGTGTTGCCTTTGTGGTTCATCAAAGATCAGCAGGTCTAACTCTGAACTCTGTACTCTGTTCTGCTCACTCATTTTTGGCACTGTTTCCACGTCAGGGAGTGCTAGGTTCCACTTTCAGTCTTTGTTAGTGCTGTGTTGACTGTTTTCAGTCTTCTCCTATAAGCTCTAGAATCACTTGTCAATACCCATAAAATAGCTCCTTTACATTTCGACTGGCATTGTGCTAGGTCTCTAGAATTGACATCTTAAGAGCATTGTGTCCTGCTATATGAGCACAAAATGTCTCTCTGTGTGGTTTTTTTCAAAAACTTCCTTTCAGCGAAGTTGTAGTTTGATAGTTTTGTAACATGGATACTACACTTGTTTTGTTAGATTTTAGTTTGGAATCCAATTATAAAATGAAGTTGTATTAAATATTTCAATTTGCGTTGATGGTAATGCAAATGGTGTTGTTTTGAATTTCACATTCCTCTTTGTTGGTGGATGAATGGAAACAATCAGCTTTTACCTTGCTATAAGTGCTTCTCGGGCCCAAGATTTAAAAAAAAAAAAAAAAAAAAAATTCTGTCAGCATTT